CCATGTTGCCAACAAAGATGTCAAAAATACTGTCCCAATACTGACCCCTGAGGAACATCATTGTTACTGATCTTCACTTGGAGCTTGAGCCATTGGCCACAACTCTTTGAGTGCAACCATCCAGCCAATTCCTATTTTCCAAATGATCCATTCATCAAATCCACACCTCTCCAGTTTAGAGACAACGATGTCATGTGGAACAGTGTCAAATGCCACCAAATTCATCAGGCATAATTTGTCTTTAGTGAAGCCATGCTGGCTGTCTGCATTCACCCCCTTATTGTCTGTGTATGTACTTTCCAGGAGGATCTACTCCATGAACCTGCCAAGCACCAAGGTGAGACTTATTGGCCTGTAATTCCCTGGGTTCTCCTTCTTTCAAATATACATAAATATATATAGAAATATAGATCAAACTACTTTTAAGACAAACGGGACACCTGAAAATTTATTCACCTGGAAAATTATTCAAAGTTAAGTTGATTTCAAGGAAATTCTGGAAATTGGGACATAGTACATATGTGTAATGGTGTTCTTCACCTTTTACATAAATCAAATTCCATGACAAAAAAATGTCAAAAATACAGAACACACACTTTTGGCTCTCACAGACACTTTTTCCTGCCAAATGCTTATTATCCTTTTGATTTAAAGACTTCTTAATAATTACTTTTTCAAAGCAATTGGAAAAAAACAAACCCACTAAACCTTCATATGTGAAAGAACAAAGGGAAAAAAACTAACCCACTAAACCTTCATATGTGAAAGAACAAAGGGAAAAAGACTAACCCACTAAACCTTCATATGTGAAAGAACAAAGTATCTGCAGCTGATAAATACATTAAGTGCTGGGTGTTTTGGAAGACTAATCCTTAGTTTGGTGTATGGTTATCTGTACTAACACAAAATAAAAATTCTGAAGTCTAGAGACCTACCATTATGACTTTTATATGATTAACATGACATCTGTATGTGATCTCATTTTGACATTTTTGTAAAACGCTTGCACAATGAGAGCTGTAATAGGTTTTTAATTATTATTTTGTTAAAGGAAGATTATGAAGGTGTATTAACTTGTCTAATTATTAACTTTGTATTGCATTCATGAAGTATTATAATCTTTCTCTATCTGGCTTAACAGTGCTTTTAAAAAATTCTATCTATGGCTATATTTTACAGAGAAATCCAGTGACACAGTACATAATAAAAAATTCATTTTGTCTCACATAGGCTGCAGGCTCATGAATGTGAAAACTCCCTGTTTAAAGGAGGTTAAAGTTTTCACAGTGGTAGGTACAAACAGGCTAGTTTAAAGAGGCTAAATTCACGTTGTATGTTACACTGTTATTTCTGTTTAAAAAAAAAACCAAACAAAAAAGCTCCCAAAACAAACAAAACAGAATCTGTAATTGTCGGGGAGTAAAAAGTCAGGGCAACCCAACTACAGCCAGCATGCTCAAGACTAGTCAATCTAGCCTAATGCTGCAGCTTGTAGCCTTGGAGTAGAGAAACACCAGAAAAAAGAACAGAAACAACCTAGAGATCACGCAGTGCTCTTGCTTGCTTGCTGCAGGGATTAATTTCCTACAGATAGATCCCACCAGAGCAAACAGGCACAGACTATCTGAGAAAGGCAGCTGGCTCCTGCTGACCAAGTGGAACTGTGCAGCTGAGGAGGTGCCTCTACATGCTGGGAAGAGACACGGGCTTACCACTGATGAGCTTGACCTGGATGAGGGGAAGAACCAAGAGACACACCACCATGTTGAACCAAAGGACAGGTAAGCAGATGTACCCACCAAAGGAGAATCACAGCCTTCTGACTATAAGAAATTATATGAAGAGGAAGCCTTATTCCATGTTTCCCTACTGACAGAAGATCTCCTTGCTGCCTCTGCTGTATCAGCTCAGACTGTTACTTAAGCTTACTCAATGCTCCAAGTCATCAGGAAAACAGCTATGTCTGATGAGCTGACTTACAGGTGGTTCCACTGAGCAACAAAGCCAGGGGAAGAAGCAGCAAGGAAGAAGGAGGCCAGGAACAGAGAGTGAAGCAGAAGTTGGGATAAAAACAGGACCTCTCCTTTATCTTGGGGCTTAGGACAGCTCAATCCATCTGGTGAAACCACAGCCTCGCTAAGAGCAGAAGGGATCACACTGTTACCCATGTGCTCAGTATGAAAGTGGTTGGTTGGAGAACCACTGCGTTTCTTTTGCCTTCCTCTCTCCCTCCTGTAGCATACTGCTTGGCAATGCTTGTTTGTTTAATTCATTGTTTGTGACCATAGGAAAAAAGCTTGCTGAGTGATAAGATTTAATTTTCTGGGTACCTGCTAAAAAACTTAATTCAGTGCTTTTCTGGCCCAGTTAAGTGTTGGAAGTTAAATGCTCCTTTTTCAGTCCAAAACTGACAAGGCTCAAAGCAAGTCTTGCAGGTGGGAGATGTTTTACTGCACTTCTTAAAAACTTGAGATTTCATACTTCCAGGGAGTTCTTTAGATGCTTGTGTAGTAACCTTTCTCTATATGGGCACATTTTGTAGTATAAAAATTCGTTCTTCAAATGGCACATGCACTCCAGCAGTTAGGTATCAATTAATAGATATTGGTAAGGTAGCATTTTTGTGTACTTGCTTTCTTATTGTTCTGTTTATTTCCCCTCTCAACATAATAAAACCAGGTCCAGCCAGGTGGCTACCTATGTAATGCAGGCACGTGGGATAAACAGTTCCCACACATTGCAATACTTCTGTCTCTTGCAATGCTATTTACAACTAGGATTTCTGACAGATTTCCCTGAAGTGTTGTCAGGGGTATCCCAATTCACCTCAGTCACAGCTTAGCAACCAAAGGGATGTATTTTTCGTTATTTTGATGAGTTGTTATTTTTGTTTGGGTTTGTTGGTGGTTTTTTTTTTTCTTCACATTTTCTTGACTTAAAAGCTTTCTGTTGTCCTAGTGCATTTACGAATTTCCAGAGATCCCAATTCTTTTGAATTGATGAAATGGTCATTCCATTTGCCCTCTACATATCTAGAAAAGTCAAAAGCTATGTGTCATTGATACCACACAATGTAATTAAGGGTTAGCTAGTAAGAGCTGTAGGGAAAACAAATTCAATAAAGTCCATTATTTTCTCAATTCCTAGTAGGGAAAGGAGGTATGATTTTGCTGGGAATGGACCAGTTTTTCTGAGTTGAGAAAAATGTTTTTGTATATAAACCAATTAGTGAGATACAGTCACCTCTAATCCATCCCTGGCTTATCTGCAGATGGGACACCAACTCTCATTACCTCTCCAGCTGAAAGAGAAAAATCGTGCACATTCCCCTTCCTTCATTCATTGTAAATTCTCAGAAAAAAATATTAACCCTTCTACCTTTTGGAACAGGTTTAAACAGCATAGTAAAATTATAAAATTCCTGCAGTGGGGAAGTCTCATTTTTATGAAGTCACGTGGGTTTCTGAATCTACGTTCAAATATCCTGATCCTGTGTACTGGGTTTGCATTGCAAGGTTTTGGTAGCCGGGGGATGAGGGGTGTGTGTGCTGTTCTAAGCACACATGCTCAAACCAGATTTAACCAAGTAAATTCAGGTACTAAAAGCAGTCCAGCTTCAACAGCATGAAGATTTGGGTGCACTTATTTCCTCAGAGGGGAAGTCCTTAAAGTGAAAAGTAAGAAATGAAATCCTAAAAGGATCAGTCTTGTATTTCACATACGCATTAATGACCTTGGCACAGAAAACAGCAATGCATTAACAGAAGCTGCAGATGGCAGAGAGTTGTATAAATCAAAGGTACAGCATCATGCAAAAACAACTGTTCAAAGAGGGTAAGAATAAATATGGGATGACATTTAGCTACACAAACAAGGTTACATGCTCGGAGACGATATTTATTTCCAGTGCAGGGTGTAATGTCTTAGGAGGAAGGAGATGAAAAAGACATGAGATCACCAATGGATTACAAAATGAGTATAAACCACCAATGAGATACAGTTGTGAAAGGCAGATAACATAAATGCAGGAGAGATACGGAAATATTAATGCCCTTGTACAAGCTGGTAATGAATTTCTTCTAGTTTTTGGATATTTTTTTTTTTCAGTTTTGTCTATGTTCAAACAAGATCAGCATGGGTGAAAAGCTAAATTTCATGACTGGGACAGTCCTTTAACTAAGAAATCCGTGACTCCAATGTGTCAACTGCCTTTTGTTTGGCATTTCTACCTCAACCCTAATGAGACCCCAATTAAAGTGAACCCAAGAAAGTGCTTGCCATGACCTGTCTGGCAAGCAGTTATGTGATGAACAAGCACCTCTGCCTACATGAAAATTGTACTTCATAAAGAAGGATGAGATACTGGATAAAATATGAAAGCAGACTGGTAAGATACTTTCTACAAAGGTAATACTGACACACCCAGGGCTGGAAACTCAGCCCCCACCAACCTTTTTACATTCAATTTAACTTGAATATAACACATGCATAAAACCAAAAAATATTTGCATTCCCATTAAACCTTATATAGCCTTTAATAAAAATTAGCTTGCCAAAGGTCACAGATAAAACTGGAAACTTATTTCTGCCATGATAAGTATCCACCATTATTCAAATAAAACTCCAGCTCCAGCTTCCCCATTGCATGGAAGATGTGAACAATACTGAGTATTAAGAGGGTGGCAATCTGCGCTTTTACATCCATCTTCCCTTGCGCAACTTCAACAAGCACCTGCAGAACATTTCGGTTTGAGGACACACAGCCTCAGGTAAACAAACCTAAAAACGAACGACCTCCTCCCCACGCATTACACATATATATATAAACATATATATATACACACATAAACCTGCAGTTATATACAACACAGACTTAAAACCAGCAATCCCTTGTTGCTCGGAAGAAGGGATCTCTGTAGACCCCGACAGCCACGTGCGATGGGCGATGGCCGCAACCTGCCGTATCCCCCCCCCGCCGTGACCGGGCCGGGGCACGCAGCATGCCAAGCCCTCGGAGCCGGTCGGCCCGGCAGAGGGTACACATCCCCCCAACCCCGCAGTTCCTCCCGGCCCACTGCCGCTAAGGGACCGCCCAGGCGCCACTTCAGACGTCTACGGAAACGCTGTATCTAAAACTTCGGTCCTAAATCGACCGCACGACAGCCATTGTCACTGCCTTGTTACAAATCCTCAACGCTGTTCTCCGGTGCCCTTCGCACATCCCTCAGCCTCTCCCTTTCCCGTGACGGTGGGGCGTCGAGACACAACATCGCCGATCTCTCCCTAGTAGCGGTCGGCGGGGCAGGTTCATTTTCCTCTGAATTCAGGCGGCGCTACGGGCAGCTCAGGAGGCGGAAGGGACAGAAGGCCCTCTCAGGCGGCTGTTGACGTGTCGGTGGGGAGCGGTGGCGGTGAGAGCATCATGTGAGTGAGCTTGGTGCCCGCTACCCCTTTTGCTCCTTACTTTCCCTTCCCGCCCTAAACCGGAACTTTCTCCTTACTCTTCCCAGGTCGAAAGTTACCTTTAAAGTGACGCTCACCTCGGACCCGCGGCTGCCGTACAAAGTGTGAGTGGTGCGGCGGGCCGGGGTCAGGCAGGTGCTGCGGCCCTGCTGCGAGAGGCGAGGTGGCTGTGGAAGCCGGCGGCAGCGCGCACAGGCGCTCCTGGGCTGTATAGTTTGCTGGTCACCCTTCCAGGGGTTCCGCACGAGAGGAAAAGGCGTTTTACTTCCTCCGTGTGAGCCGAGAGGTGGTTTGCCGTAGTTAACTCACCTGCTGGGGCTGGTTTGCTTTGGTCTGCTGCTATAGATGTCTTTTTAGGTTTTGATCTAGGCCTTAAACAGTAAATGCACACCTGTGGTAAGGGTATTGCCTCTGCTTAAAGTGAAATGAAATTGCTTTTTAGTTTGTCTCAGCAGTCATACGTTTATTTACATTGTAATTTTAGGTTAAGTGTGCCTGAAAGTACACCTTTCACAGCTGTCTTGAAGTTTGCAGCAGAAGAAGTAAGTAGACAGTGATGATGATGTTTTTTAACCTTCTGAATATTCCTGAAAGCAAAAGCTATTTAATTGTAAAAAAATATGGTTAATTCAGCACAAAGAATGCTCTTGTTAGATATGCACAGACACAGGCTTTACTTGTGTCAGAGTAGCTTGTCAGAGCTTTCAGAAGTTAGTAAGCAATTCTTGCACAATTTACACTTTAAGAGCAGGTATTGATGTGCTTGCTGTTCTTTGCAGTTAATTTTATTTCAGTAACATAAAACATTGTGAACATGAACATAATTAAAAAGCACTACTATTGAATATTTAATATTTTAAATTGCTTATGTAGAATATACATAAAATTCTTTAGGATTATTCAAGAAATTCTTAAACTCTTCTTGCATTTGGTTCCAGTAATCTCTAATTTTGGAAGACATGCAGGTTTTGATTATAGCAGGTATTGATATTAGTCATATTGCCTAGATTAAAAGAACAGACACCAGTGACTAAGATGAGGATAATGTGGTGTTTGATTTCTATGTTTGATCTGTTACATAGAATCCAAAACTAATAGGTGACTAAATTGGCCTATGTAATGTATTTGAAGAGATGCATCCTGTTTCAGATTAAATGTACAATTATTAGCATCTGTTCATCTGGGTGTTAAACAGTAAAATAAGGGGCTCAAAAGCACAGCTTAGAATTGTAATAGAATAAATAATTAGAAAAGATAATAGACTCCATGTCTTGATTGTCCTTATGTTGTTGGTGTTACACCAACATGTGACAGAAGTTCTAATTGGAAGCACAGCTTGTGGAAGGAGGTTGTGGATTGTTTGTTTTATGACTACTTGAACAGAACAATATAAAGAATAATGGATGCTGTTAAAGATAGTTACTGGTTTAAAATTTTTTTTTTTTTTTCCCAGTTATTTTTTATCTGAACTAATGCAGCTGTGCCCACACAACCCATATATAGAGACCTAGTATGAAGGACCAGGGAAGACTGAAGCAAGACTGAGTGGTTGGAGATACCAAGACTGAGGGGCCACTTTTGGTGGGAGGGTTGCCATCAAACTTGGTATCTTTACCTACTCATGGAACCACAGTGAGTTCAAGTACTATAGTGGTTTCACAAGTTATAGGGTCCTCTGTGAAATTGATTTAGAGAATTACTTGAATGTTCACATTTAGCAAACCATTATTTTAGTTGATGTATTTTGAGTATCCACTATCATTAAACATGGAGAGGTCTTGGGAAGTCTGTCATTTATAGCAGTGTCAGCCCTTCTCAGTAGATGCATTTGGCAGTGATAATTTGGATAATGCAAATTTAGCTCTTTCCTTAGTTTTTATTTTCTCTGTTTGTCTTACAGACTATATATAAAAATGTAAATGACATATAGAGTACTGGAAACACTGCTGTCTTCAGTTTTTCTCTATTTATGGTTATTTCCACAACTGTCACAGTTTATTGTGACAGCGCTAATGTTCTCATTTACAATGTGTGGTATCTTATCAGGTTTTTTCCTTCATCTGTTAGAGCCACTTGGTACATATCTCAGGTGCACATTTGTCTGATACTTATAAAAAAACTCTCTTAACTTTGTGGAATCATTACTAAAATAGTAATCTATTTCCATTTACAAAGTTGTTTATTCTTTCATAAGCATGGGGTTTTTTGAAACTATTTTGTTATTTTAATGTTACTCTTGATAGACTGGTACTAAAATTCTATGGTTTAATGCACTTATCTGCTATTCATTGTGCAAGAAAGAGATGAGCTTGTTACTGTAGAGGATTTTTTATCATCATTATAAGAAGTGAGAAAGCAATATGATTGTTGGCATGCGATTGTCACTTTTTCCTTATAGTTTGGCTGTAGATATCAATAAATATATTTCCTAGTATTGGGGAAAATAAGTTGTGTGACAGCCTCAGTTATCAATTTATAAGGTTTTTAAAGCAAACAATCTCTTTAAAGGGTGAGTTTGAGGCTGGAATTTGATTTCAAAGTAAACCAGGGATTGCCTACTGAACACAGAATTTCGCTGCTTGAGTATCCATTTGACTTTGTATCTGAGAAAGCTTGTGTGTTTTCAGCATGGGATACATACACTTAGCAACCACAGGAAGGATTTTTGATTTAAGTAGCGAACCATATCGCACCAAATTATGTGTAATTATTTCCAGTGTGGTAATTTCCCTTTCTGTATTATATTTGTGATGATATTTAAGTGCTGACTGTATAGCTGACAGCTATTGCTATTTGGCCCAGTGTTTTGGGCTAAGGTAATAAAATGTTTTATTATATTCTAACACTATACAGTACGAAGCAATAAAATTCTTAACTAGTGCTTCACAAACCGGTTGCCACACAGATCTCATATATACTTGGTGTATCACCATCAGGTAGATTCTGCTACTGAGAAGCAAAATGACACAAAATTAATAGATGTCCATTCTACTGTGAATGATTCATTGCATTGTTGTGTCTAATAAGAGACACAGAATGAGGAGAGGCACTTAATGTTCTAAAAGTTACCTGTTTGGGTTTTATCAGGTGACTTGGGATGAAAGATTGATGGTATCACTTACTTGCAGTGGAAATCTGCTTGTTGAAAAATAAGTTAAACATGTATTTTGTGCTTCTTCAGGGGTTTCTTGTGGTTTAGTCCTTTACTTTTTGATTTGGAGATGGAGATGATACCTAACATGTTTTGCAGAAACTACTGCTTTCATGTCACGCTACAAGATGAGAAGGTGACATGATTTACCCACTACGGGTAAAAGGCTAGAGGAAAATAAGTTAATATCTGCTAATTTTGTGTCTGGAGATGAAAAAAGACTTTTTAATATTAATAACTAAATACTATATTCAGGCATGGTTTCTGTGGGCTTTAGCTGTTGCTGTCAGTGCATGGTGTTTCTGCAAATCAAACCTGGAAATCTTAAGTTGAGCAATCAGAAAATAGGGAAAGCAAAACTAGTGAATGCTGTTGAAAGAATGCTGCTGAAAGGAACTGCTGGGCTGAAGTGACTTGTTTGAGGCAGATGGAAAAGTTCTGCAGTTCTTCCATGGAAATACTCATTGTTAGCAATCATAGTTAGCTTACCCTTTTTTTACACAATGTAGAGAAGAAGAGGAAGTGCTTTGTGAGGTGATTTCCCTGATGCTTGCTCATCTGCTTTACTGTGAGGATTCTGAGGCACTGGAGCATGCTGCCCAAATAAGTTACGAATGTTCCATCCCTGTCAGTGTTCAATGCCAGGTTGGACAGGGCCTTAAGCAACCCAGTCTAGTAGCAAGGTGTCCGTGCGTGTGTTAGCGAGGACTAGATAATCTAAGGTCCTTTCCAGCCCAAACCCTTTCTATGATTCTGTGGTTGCTGAGACCTCAGTCTTTTACCTTAAGAGTTGTTCACTGTGCCAAGTAAAGGAAGCACGAGGAACAACCTTTGGTCCTTAAACCAACCAAGTAGCACTGATTGACTTGTACCCACCCAACCTTTTCTGTCCTGTGTGGTCCAGCCACATTACATTACATAGTGCTGGATTTTTCTCTGGCCCTGCCTGGTCCCTCTAAGAAATAATTATTTTTGGCTTCCCCATCTCAGTTCAGACCTTCTGAGGTAGTTTGAAGCCTATATGTGATGCTACCCTACCTGAGTAGGGCTTTTCATGTTCTAAAACTGACTGCATATGATGTGCATGAAGGTGAGTTGCTGTGGAGGTGTGAGAAATCTGAGGAGGAAGGCAGATCTTATGCAGTGTTGTAAGTGCTTCCTTTGTAAGCAAATCCTGAAATGAACTCTTCTGTTCCAGTAGTGCAGTTGGAGAGCTCCCAGTACAGCCAGAGAGAAAGCTAGGAAATAGCTCAAAATTAACCAAGATTAACTCAAGCTAATTCTATTTTAATTCCTGTTAGGCGTTTGTTTTGAAGTTCATTTCCATACGTGCTTTAGGTATTCCTTTATTTAGTACAATAGGAACTAATTTCTCAACTTGGTGGATGCTTGACTTTTATATTGTATCCAATGACTAATACTAGTTGGATCTAATTAGGTTTTTAGTCCTGCAAATTTCACATTCTGTATTGAGGTGTCTAATCATCTTTGACTTTAAACCTTTATTTTGCTTTATCTATAAATCTGAGGGAAATATTTTCCCATAATTTTGTTGTACCTGAACCAGCTAAAAATATAGTTGATTTGAATATTCCCTATATATTTTCTTTAACTATGTTTCATGTAATTTTGTCCTACTCTACTTCCTTTAGTTCAAAGTTCCTGCAGCAACAAGTGCCATTATAACAAATGGTAAGAATATAGTTTTTATATATATTATTTTTTATTTTTTTATTTTTTAATAGGGTTTTTCTTGTTGTTTCATTTAAGGGGTATTGATGAAAGCAAAAGTGTCTTTTCTTTCACAACCTCTACAGACTGCAAATTGAATTTAATAATATTACAGCATTATTAAAATTGCTTATGCATGGTGTAAAGGTATTAAACCACTAATATAATTAATTTGGTTTTGTCCAAATACGTATGCTGAATGCTTCTTGTTAGCTTGTGTGATGAGACTATTTCTGGTTATAGGAAATAGCTGCATGAAGACCTGATGTAACAACTACATCTTGTTGGTATATTTTTTGAGCTCTAAGTTTAGTCATAATATGTCTCTTTCATCTTCTAGATGGCATAGGAATAAACCCAGCGCAGACAGCAGGTAAGTTATTATTTATGAAGCCTAGTATTAAAAAGCTCAGTTATATTTCCTTTAAACTAATGCATAGCACTTGGGGATGATTTATATTTTAAGTTTTGATTGCTTAAATGAGAGAAGCATTACTCAGTAGTTGGAAACTACAGTCAGTGTAGTATGTAAAAGGTAAAACCCACAGAGCTATTCTTCAGCATTTGTGTATTTAATTCTGTGAAAAAAATAGGTACTTCTGATCTTCAGAGCTCAGCTATTTATTGTGCAGTTAAAAAGAGCAATACTGTATTACATGCTACTGAAATAACAACTAATAGCTGTATTATTTTTCCCCGTGATACCTAGTTGAGCAGTATTCGCTATTTTAGCAGCACTTCTCATGGGGTATGTTTAAAAAGTAATACTTGCATTTAGAGCAAGAACTTTAGGTGCTTTGGAAAGCACGTTCTCAAGAAGAGAGGATCTTCTTGGCAATAGCCCTCTTAGCCTCAAAAAGGGATTCCATGTGAGAAACCTCTGCTTTCAGCTGCAGAGGCTTCCTGTGAGAGTTTCTCTGTCACAGAAAAGTGTGAATTTTTTCCCCATTACTTCCTGTAATACATGGAAACACAGTCCAGATGTTGAATTGTACCAATAATGGTCTGTTGTCTGGAACCAGGCTTCTTTGGACTTGTTGTTAAAAAAGCTATACTTTTAAATTAATTTGGAAATGGTTACAGTACTCTCAGCCCATTGAGACAATGTTAACAGTGGAGTGGAATATCTTTGAAGGGAAGAAATGTTCATAATTTTTTTTACTAAGAAACAATAATAATGACTTTGGTGCTTGTGGAACCCAGTTGCTGGAGACATACTGCTTCTCTGTTTTTTTTTGCGTGAAATCTCTACAGCATCTCAGAAAGTAAGGTATTATCAGCATATTTAGCTATGTAAGTCAAATAGTATAAAGTAAATCCTTTCAGAGCACATAAAAGTATCTGGTGGTTAGAAGAGCAGTTGCTTGATGTTAGTTTGGGGAATTTCTTAGAATTGCGAAAGAAACCATTTAAGTGTTGTGACCCATTTCTGGGGTCTGTGATTGCATCCACAACATTTGAAAATGAAGATCAAGCAAGTTTTTGGCTTTCTGCTCCACTGGAGGTTTCTGTCTTTTCTGTCCTTCCCTTAGGACTCCTGGATTATGGTTTGACAGGTATGCTGCCTAAGGTAGACTCCTCAGCTGATGCTGTCCTTGTCATGATCTCATGACCCAATATATTAAAAACAGATAATGAAAGTAATAATTTAGTTTCTCTACTAGATCATCACCCACATGTAAAGCCAATTTTTCACGTGACCACTCAAGAATACATGGCAAAATAGGTAAAGTCAGTTGCTTAAGTTAAGGTATACTTCCACTGTTTCTCTGTCTCAAAAGTATACTTTCATATCGTATTATGTAGTTCAAATTAGTTGTAGCTTAATACTTCAAGGTGCATGTATTTAGGACTACATGACTCCTGGATGAAAACATCCATATGGCAGTTCATCATGCTTGCAGCTGTGCATATTGCATTCACATCTCCCATGGATTTACTTTATCTCTCCTAAGTTCTTCTAAATGTTGAGCAATTATTCAGTAGAATTGTAAGACAGCATCTCATAATCAAGAATCAGATAAATGAAAAGATTCAAAATTTTTCATTACAGTTGTGATCTTATCTGCAGATATAAGATTAGGTACATGGATTGCACATGGTTTTTTTTTTAACATAGAAGGTACCGTTGCCCTGACAGTGCTGTGTGATGTTGCCCTTACACAGGGGAAAAAAAAAAAAACAACCCCAAACAACACCCCCCCAATAACTTACAGCAAAACCAAGACCCAGTCCAGAATCCCTCTTCCGTTTACAAGCAGACACATATAATTTAAATATAACCTTTTGTTCAGTCTTATTAATTGGTATTTCAGAAACTTGGTACGGTGAAACGTACTTTTTTTTTCCTGTATTAAAGCTCCTGAAGATTGAACAGTTGCTTTAGTCTTCATAAACTTCCCAAAATAAGATGATCTAAGAATAAAATCTTAGCAATCCTTGGGGATTTCAGAGATTTTGTACTGTTCCACTATTTCTGCACCTTTCTGAATAAAAGTACTCCTCAGGTATGATTTTCATTCTCCCTACATGAGTCTGTGGAGTAGGTGAAATGAAAGCTGAAAAAACTAGGCTTAGTACTTAATTCCTGTAATGATTTCAGTTTTAAATCCTGTATTCTTTAGGGAATAGTGTTTCATAAAACCACTGTGATATTAATGATGGAAACAGTCTGAGAGTTGGAGTGAACTGTTGTCTGCATGAGATGCAGCTGTGGCCTGCTTTAAGTGTTAGGAGTTTTACGATGGCCTTTGCAATACAGATACTTCTAACCTGTATTAGTAAGCTTAGTTCTTTGTTTTGCTGGTGTGACAGATTCATGTACAGTGGGTTTTAGAGATCTCTTCGGTATGTCATCTTGACAGGTCTCTAAAACCAGAATGTCTTCTGATAACATTTTTTTGAACTGATTTTTCTGACATTTGTGATGTTGAATAACTAGAATAGTTTTTATCCTGATCCACATGCCAGAAAAGTGAAGTTTGAAAAAAGGTAGCTTTGTTGCAATAGAGTAATAACTTGAACAAATGTTAAATACTGTTTTAAGAGAGCAGTCTACGTCCCTGACATGTGGCGCCTGAAGCGAAATACAATTACTGTGCTTTTACAAGTCAACACAAAGATGAGTAAGAATAGGTATATATTATTAAAACCTGATATTGTAGAATTACGTATCGTCTGTTTTGTGCAGTAGCAGTATGACTTTAAAAAAAAGTAAGTTCCATACAGCAATTAAATAATACATTACTTTTAGTAATGTGGTTTCATTTTCTAATGTTACATTTAATAGAAGAAAATAGCAACCTAAATGACAATTCTGAACACATGCAAAAAATATCCTAGACATCTAAGTATTAGAAACTTCTATGTTTCATGCTATGTCCTCTTGAAAAGACTATCATGACTAGGACTATACAGTAATAAATATAATGTTTAAGATGTTTTTATGCTAAAATGAGACTGACTTATTCTTCGATGTGTGGAGAGCCTTCCTGAAAGAAAGGTACAGCTAAGGTTCTGAAGTCAGACACATATAAGTACTGAACTGAGGAGAGAATTAAAAATAACTATATGCATGAATGAACACAAGATTTAAAAAAAGTGATTATGGATAAGTAAAGCATTTCTTGGTGTTAAAATTATTATGACATTTAAGTGAAATTACACATTCAAGTATGCAACGGCAACATTTGAAAGACCATAGCTTTCATGTCCTATTAGATGACTTTGGGACTGGTATTTTTATTTAAAAATAAGAGCTGTTTGGAGTAAGAGAGATAAGATGAAGTTCCATGGGAACATAAAAGACTATATTTCTGGTATATTAGAGGAATTAGTGCAAACATGTTAAACACAGGCCTAACATTATTATCCCTTAAATGTGTATGCTTGTTTAGGTAACATTTTATTTTGTTGGTTGGTAACACATTCTGTTTGTTTTGTTTGTTTAGGAAATGTATTTCTAAAGCATGGTTCAGATCTACGGATTATTCCCAGAGATCGAGTGGGGAGTTCTTAACATCTCCTGAAAGCTTTGGAATAAGTGACATTGCCATGCAGCGAAGGTCTATTTATTTTGGAACTCCAAAATGCAACTAATGAATTGGCCTTTTATAAAGCTAGTAAAAATGACTCCCCAGGATTTGATTTTTTTTTTTAAATAGAGATAAGGTTTCATTTTCTTGTTAAAATATATTGACTCCTGCACGGATTCTTCCTGGACTAGTTGAAAAATGGGATGATTGCATGTTGCGTTCCTGAAAGCAAGCTGGATTTCTTTATAGGTGTTACTGACACCACAAGGGTAAACACACAGCCACAATCAATAGATATTTAAAATATTGGATAGCGTTGAGCCTACTTTGTGGAAGAGGGAACTGAGTTACAATTTCGTTACAAAGAGATTGTTCCTACTGAGTGCTAAAACTTCGTATTTCCCTTTTTTTTTTTTCCCCAAAACTTACTTTCCATGTTTACAGGAACAGTTTTCACATGGTTCAAGAATTAAGCTCAAATAGAAAGGAAATTTCAGGGGTTCACTACTCAAGTAAGTAAATAACTGCCAAATGGTCCAAAGTCTTTGTAGGATTTAGTTGCTGCAGATGTTAGATAAAGGAGAAAACAGAGGTTTTTCCATGTAAAACCTTCGTTTGACGTATTGTAAAGTTAAATGTAATTTCAGAGAATTTATGGACCTAATCTCACAGGAAGTGCCATCAGCTGAGAAGGATTGCAGCATAATTTGAGAATGTGTAGGAACTGGTCAAATATGTCATTCCTTTTTCAGTAAACTGATACTGGTTCTTTTAAAAAAGTCTGGTTTTATTGTTGCGTGTTACATGGGAAACAGTGTAGAATTCACTGAAATGTCTGTGTCAGATTATGTGTTTCTTGTTTATAAATTGCCAGGGGTAAACTATCAGTTGTGTAATTTAATTAGAGAAGATGTTGCTTTCCTTGAACTCGTAATCTACTTTGTGATTAATATATTTGGCAGAATCTTACATTATTGCATTTTTTCCTTTCCTACTGGGTTTAACAGAAAGAACAGTGGGCAATGTAGTGCTTGGTTAAGTAAGTATTGTCACAAATACAACTGTTCTGTGCAATAATCATACTCTAGAAAGATTTTTAGATAATGTGTCAGGTAGTACAGAAGTACAAAATGCCCTTCTAAGTGGATGTAAATGGAGCATATAGAGGAAGACTCTTTTGAAAGTGATATATGACTGTAAACATTTTCCAGCTCTTCAGATGAATTGTAAAATTCTGTATTTTTATTTTAATAAACAATTGTATGAAAAAAAAATGAACTTTGTTCTCTCTCATATTCTTAATTAATAATAATAATTAAAAACTCTGCCCTTTAATCTTCTGACCAACATGCTGTGAGATTCATTTCAAGCCAGAAGACACTCATTTTGCAGAATTCTACAGAAAACTGCCCTTAAGGGGCAGAGGGCATAGTTTCTATTAATCTAGTGCCGTGATATAATTAGAGTGAGCCAAATTAATTGCTTGTAAATTTTGGCTGCATATCGCTTCACTGAATGCATGAAAAACCATCTGATACTGGAATATAACAAACACAGCCTTTTTTTTTTTTCTTTTCTTTGTCTAGAGGTGCAGTTTCTTTCAAAGGACCATCGTGGTTAGATGCATTTTGGAACTTAAGGTGCTCTGATGCTTATGTGAAAGAGAGTTATGTAAAACTAATTTCAGGTGGTGGCTAACATTTCTTACACTGTTTCTGTAATAAGGGCATAAAGTGTTTGACATAGTGCATTGCAAGTAGTGTATGTAACATGCAAAGTATTTATTTGGAACAATAAGTGGTGCTTGTAGCTCTTTATCTGTTCATTACAACTTTGTCACCATGTGGTCTAAAATCTGAACATAACTTTTCTGTTTGGTAAAGAGGCTTAATTTCAGTGCTACAATGTACTTAGCAGATGTTTGCAAGTTGATTTGACATTTGCAAGCTCATTTTGTTAAGTTATGTTTGACATGGTTGTATGGGAAAAAAAATTAAGTTTAGAACCAACCTGCTTAGGGCTTGGGAGTTGTCACCATATGGTGAAAAGTGCTGTACTGGCTTGTCTTAACAAAACTTCAAAGTGTACTTTACAAGTCAGCTCTACCTGGAGTTTATCTTGTCTTTGGCTGTGGTTATAATTTGACTGGTGTTAAATTAAAGGCTTCCTTTGTTTGTGATTATCACACCTTTGCTGAAGTCAATTTAAAGGGTCTTTTTTCTGTATTTTATGTTTGCAAAAGGATGGTGGGTTTAATTACAAAGGTATCCTGTGAACTAATTTTGGGAGAACCATTAAATGCTAAATGTTCCACCAAAACTTTTTAAAACCTGCAATAATTCTTTTGGTTTATACAATGTTACATAAGTCTTATTTTTCTCAAATCAATTATTTGTTAGAATTTGAAGATACCATGGAATTTTTTCAGCGATGGGAGTACATTGATCTGATGAAGTACGAAAGAACTGGAGGAGTTAGGAAATGGTTCTGCTAATAATTCTGTCACTAGTACGGCTTTTTTGCTTGTGCTCCCAAATCACAAAATCTAACTTTGTTCTATGAGATTAAAAGAGCATTTTCCTCTCTTGTTTCTACGAAATAATAAGCAGAAAAATGGTTGACAGTAGGATGCAAAAGTTAAAAATTTTTGTTTTTCATGGTTAAGTTAATGGTGAAAACCCAGCTCCGGCTGCTTCTGCAGTGATACAGTGAGCAGTTGGATCAAGTGAGGATCTGCGACAGTATGATTTCAGTGTTACTGGATTCAGAAGGTGCTGGGGTTGCAGCAGTCCTTTGTACGGCAGCATGTGGGTGGCTATCAAACTGAGCACTTTAATGGGGCAGTGGAAAAAACAATCCTGCAGTCATCCTAGCAGCGCTGTGTTTCAGTGATTCTGGCAGGAGCTGTAAGCTCCAGCTGGGTAAAATTCAGTCCTTGTGCAATACATAATGTTCAGATTTAAATACAGTATACCTGACTGTACATCTCAGTAGTGAGTTTCAGCCACTGTTCCTACTGATGGCAGGTGAATACTGGGGAGTATTTACAAAGGCTAGCATGGTCTTTTGGTGGCTAATCTCTGCAAACTATTTTTGAAGTTAATGGAAGTGGGAGTCCTCCAGAGAGAGATTCAGAGTAGCTAAATGAATCTTCAGTTCTGAATCATCCTCTGCAGGAGCCCGTCTTTACTGCATAGAGAAAGCCGCTGAGGCATTAGCCTGCAAAGGCTAATGTTAACCTTTGTGAATACCTTCCCTAACAGGCACTTCCCCCTGTCATCAATATTACATGTTGTAGTACTGTACTACCTACTCGCTGTTGTTTGATCTTAAAGTTTAGCTCATGGTATGAAGCTGCCAAGGACTTGTTAAAAACCCAGATTACAAGAACTTGTTTGTATGAAAACAGACCTGCTTTTAAATGTAATATAATTAGTTAAATGCTCTGGGTTTTTTGTTTTTTTTGGTTTTCTTTTTACAGCAGCCTTGGTGGGAATGTGGGGAAAGGTTTGTTGTTCTTTACAGAAAGCTTTGTCAGGTTAAAATTAGTTCTGTCTACAAAGAAAGAATAAAATTCGTGTACCAATAAAGAAAACAAAAGATTCTTCTTCACTTTCTCAGAGTATAGAATTGATCCCTTTATCTTCCTGTGGAGGTTAAATGCCTGGAAATCAGGTTTTAAAGAGTTTGGAATGCATTCAGATAGCCACTAATAGAAGGACCAGGTGCAGGTGTTCCTATTTATTACTATGAAGAAAATCCTGAAGCTGAGTAAGGGAACTGTCAGGGTCTTTCACTGATGAGCAATACCCGGTGTTGTGTGTAAGAACTGTACCAACCTCAGAGGCTTTTGATCATTTCAATGGAGAAGATCACTCTGATTTTGAACAATGGATAAAGTTTGTCTTACAGTTAAGTCCTATTTATAGGCCTTGAAAGTAGTCTTTGTGAGGTGAGTGAGAAAATGGCTATCCACAATCCCTTTCACTGCTCCTGAAATTTGACAAGAAATAAGTCTGGGACAGTCTGGGCATTAAAAAAGGTTCAGGATTTTTCCCTATGGAATTCTGTTTTAAAGGTAAAGTGCCAGCTCAAAAGTACAACGTATTTATCTTCTGAAAATTTAGTTGTGATAAAGGTTCATTGCTGTCCGGTGAAAAGTTTTAAAAAGAAGCAAAAAGGCGGGGGGTGTGGGGGGTGGAAATAGGTTTTCTCTTACCTGTGGAATGTGATAATTGTGCAGTTACAGGCTCACAAGGAATGTCTTCTCATCGGTAAAGCCACAAGATTTTAGTAGCTGTGGACTAATCTGTTTGCTATCACAAACATCTTAGAAATTCAACTACAGAACTCTGGGCTATTGATAAGACAGTAAATGCGAGGGAAATGTACCTCTGAAGCACATCATCCAGATTGAGTGAACATTCTTGCTGTGGATGGTCAGAAATAGCTCAGTATTAATATTGATTCATGCTCCTAATGCTTTGTAAACATCAGGCATTACTTTGAACTGCTTTTCGTGTCCGTTTTCTCTAAAGCAGTTTGTAATACGTCGGATTGTGTGCTAGCTTTGCCAGAGTGCTGTTAGTTTTTACTGTGTGCCAAACTTACTGCCATGTCTTTTGCAGACTATAGAAATGGAAATGCTTCTTCTGCACCAAGCTTGGTTTATGGAGACCTTAAATACATGTGTATGTACATTACCTTGCTTTCACACTTTCTAGAGGAAGCAGGACCTTGATACCTTCACTAGTTAATCAGAATTAAGAGCTGCAGTGGAGTATGGAGTGGTGAGTTGTGGCTGAATTTCAGTAATAATGGCAAATTCCTTTAAAAATAGAGAAACTATAAAACTATACAGAGTCTTTGTGATTCTTTCTGGACAATAACATTGTTGTCCCACTTCTTTTTCAAGGCAGAGCGAAAGTCAGGGCTAATCTTAAGGGCCCTGTCATGCATCCCTGTTATACAAGTTATTTTGGAAATGTTTGCCTGAAGGGACTTCTCACCAAGGTAGAAGTGGTATGATCAGACTCAGAATATCCACAAGCACTGTGCTAACCAACTTTTTCTCCTGAAAAAGAATCACAGAGTGGTCTAGGTTGCAAGGGACCTGAAAGATCATCTAGTTCCAACCCCTCTGCCGTGCGCAGGGACACCTTCCACTGGACCAGGTTGCTCAAACACCTGTCCAACCTGCCTTGAACACTTCCAGGGATGGGGTATCCACAACTTGGGCAGCCTGTTCCTCTGCATCACCTCGTAGTGAAGAATTCCTTAATGTCTAATCTAAATCTACCTTCTTTCAGTTGTCCTATCCCTACATGTCCTTGTAGAGTCCCATTCCGGTTTTCTTGTAGGCCTCCTTTAGGTACTGGAAGGTTGCTCTAATATGTCCCTTGAGCCTTCTGCAGGTTTCAGCCATTTTATCAGTTCTTCATGAGTGCTGCTTTAAAAGATTTAGATCTGTTTCCTGGGTATTACATATGACTTGAGGTCTAATTACAGGAGTTGAAAAGGAGCAAATGTTAATTGTTTTCTATTCAAATTAATTGCATACAGAGTTGTTCATTGTTTTCCCTGATAGTTTGCCTCTGCCTATGGTAAAGAGAAGCTTTGCATTATGGTAAAGAGAAGTGCAGCACCCGTTTCCTGCTTCCTTACCAAAATGAGGTCAGAAGTATCATCGATTATCCTATCTTTTGATAATGTAGACTTGATTTTTGTGTCCTGGCGCAAAATAATTTTTAAGCCTGTTTCAAAACTAACTATTGGGCAAATACTACAAGCCAATGAAGAAGGCAGTGAGGTTGTTCACTGTCTGTCTTGGGGAATGAACAGAGAATTCTGCGAACATACAGTACAGACTACTCAGATGAAGCAAATACCATCTGCAGGTTGCTGTGCAAGGGTGGTTTCAATGGTTCTTGTAGCCACTCAAATGTGTCTGCTGCTAATTTAGTTTTCTTGGGGCATTTTGATTCCATAGAGCTAGGCCAAAGAGCTATTTCAAAGCTCTCACAAAAGTGTGCTGATTTCTTGTCCTTGATTCATTGCTTTACCTGACTCTTCAGGTTACTGACACTGCCACATAGTTATGTTAAGTACATATTCTTACAGCTGCTACTAATTCAGTAGAAGCAGTCATCATTGGGCTGACTGACCTGTTCAGGTTAGTGACTTCCAGAGAAGCGAGGTTCTCCTCTGTGGAGTTTATTCAGATACCTTTGGATGTTGTCTGCTTGTAAGTTATCGATCTTCAGTTGGTAATTCTTCAGAAAGCATTAAAATTAAATCCAGGTAATGTGGCATGCTGCTTTAATATGCCTGACATAGAACCATATCACAGGGAAAATGCTACTGAAACAAAGGGGACTGCTGTTGCAGTAGAAGAGACTGGTCCTAACAACTGCACAGTTTTGTGTATGGGACCAGATTCGTAACTCAAATTTGGTTTAGGGTTTGGTTTTTTTTTTGCTAAACCTGTGAATTCCATATGAGAGTATTTTTTCTCTGTATTGTCTTTATGGCTTCCTGCATGATAAGGAGGAAATCCAGAACATCTGGGTTGACAATGCAGTGCCCTGAACCAAACAGAGGAGGATTCCAGCCCATGTTCTGGGAATGGTGTCTGTGTTGTACACCCACAGCCAGCAGCTAAAATAAGGGAGAGATCGTGAGTAGAGAGGGAAGAACACTGACTAGCTAAGGTAGATCTGGAGAGAGTGAGCTCCAAATACAAACACGTATATGTGTTTGCTCCTTTTATCTCCAATGAGTGAACCTTTCTTTGCAGTTGTTTATGTATGCATGCAGACTGACCACATCTTTCTTTAGTTTGGGTATCTGCCCAGATAGTAGAGACATGGCAGAGCCACAGCTCTTCCTGCTTGACCACTTTTTGAACCTGTGCTTTCTCAGAATACCTGTAAAAGTGGTTACAGTCTTTTGACCTCCTGCTGGAGGGAACAGTTAAACTCGTAGTGTCCTCTGCTGTTGTGTATAAGCTGTGATGCTGTGACAGTTGCATGAGAAGTTTGGAGTCTGATAGATGAAATATAAATACA